AACTGTGATTATAATTTATTGCTTCAACTAGATATAATACTTTGACATATTAATCCATATGCACAAGCTTCTAGAATGGTGTATGAATTGGAACAAGAAAATATTTCAAGAACTATTATTTCTAGTAGCATTTTATGTAGAGTATATATGCTCATTAAAAATGAAGGCACAGAACATCGTCGATATACTACTCCATAAATTAATGATGTTGTAACAGTTTTCCAAAGTGAAGATGGGGTGCTACCTTTTGACTATGAAATGTGCATTCGTCCAAAATCATCAAAACCACAACATATATCTATTTTAAATACTAATTGTGATCTTATAGTTTACCTATTTCTTTTTCCATTTTCCACATGGAGATAGAGCATAGCATGCCAAACTTTCTTTTAACAAACATATAACACTCCTTCAATATTATGCTTATCGTTTGTCTAAAAGAGATTCAACATTACCAACTTCTATAGTTACATATGACCAAATTTTACATGCTGACAAACTCACCCAACAATATATTGTAGATGCCTATGTTAAAATTGAAAGCAACAATTTATAATATTATAGATCTAATCAAAAAAATCTGAGAGTTGATTTTTACACAAGTTTGATGGATTATGTTGCTTGCAAAGCTATTGATGCAAATGCTCAACCAGGAAAAACTATTATTTTACCTTTTACATTTACAAGAAGCCCAAGAGCTATGCAACAAAATTACTAAGATGCTATGATCATTGTAACAAAATATTGAAAACTTATAACTTTCACTTGCAACCCTAAATAGCTTGAGATATTACAAAATTTGCACCCTAATGAAGGACCTGATTTAATTACTAGGGTTTTTAACATAAAGCTAAAATATTTTCTTTATGATATTACAAAAAAATTATTGAGCAGATACATATTAATCAATAGTGTCACGGTCTTTAATTTTACTTTCATTGTCTAATATGCTTAGGAAATGATAATGTGGCAATCCTCTTTTATGGAATTTAATGATATATATAAATGCAATACATCTTCCAAAGATCGCATCCACGATTCGAGTGTAAGCAGCAATCATTGTGTTGAGTGAGATTTCATCCCTGCAAGGCATCGAATTGTAGAATTTTGTTGCGGCCTTGAAATCCTATCGATCTAACAAAGCTTTCAACCGGAGATTACAAGAGAAAGAATCCCACTGTGGCATTCTATCAAGAATCCCTTCGAAAGCCCCGAAATCCCTGACGGCAGCAAAAGCTCCAAGGAGAGAATTCCACAATACAACATCTCTTGTTGGCATTTTCTCGAAGAAATCTGCTGCCTCATAGGTGCTGGAGTTCTTGGCAATCACGGCCAGGAGATTGTTCCAAGAGAATAGATTGGGGCTGGCGATTCCATCAAACACCAACCTCGCATCATCCAAACTCCCACAGCTCCCAAACATCTGAATCATCTGATTACATAGGCAAGTTTCATGCCGCAGACCGATCGGCAAAACACTTGCATGGATTTCTCTCGCGAGTGCATCTGACCCTTTATTAGAGCCCAAACTATTTGAACTAATCATGATACATGGTTCATATGGACTACTAAATCCTTAAAGTCCATGCATGGAAAACAAAAAATGCTCCAAAAACTATTCCAAAAACTTCAATGATGAATTGTGTGGATGGGTACTTAGACTATTTTATGCCAAACAATGGTTGCACATTCCCTAAAAATGATGTTCCAATTGATAACAGATGGATTGTCCTATATAATAAATATTTATGTAAAAAATACAAAACCTATATAAATTTAGAAATATGTGCACCAATTAAAAGTATTAAGTATCTATTTCAATATGTTTGTAAAGGATATGATTGTGCAACCATTAAAATCCAAACAACTACTCAGCATGAAAATGTACTAAATTGGGATGAAATCACAAATTTTATAAATACATTTACCTATATATCTTCTTGACTTCCAAAATATATATTTTACATAAGGTTTGGAGCACAATGCCTTGCAAAGAGCAACACATAATGGAACAATGCTAACAAAGTGGTTCGAGTTCAATATTCATAATCCAAATGCAAGCAATATACATACATTCAAATACATTTATATTATATTTTCAATAAATCTACTAGCTAGTTGCCAAAATCTAGCAATTAAACTTCTATTACCATGGATGCAATTATACTTTTTCTTTTGGTTTGAAGGTATGCTTAATCAACTTAGTCATAAAGATTCATGAAGAGTTCATCACTTGCTGGCAATGATGAGGATGCAAAAAAGAATTATTTATAACATTGTTTTCTTTTATATGGGCTAGAAAAGGACAATTCTAGTCTAATAATTTCTTCCCTTCTACATAGCTGGAGTGGACAAGCATTTATATCTTGCACTTGCAAAATTACTATGACCAACTTACTTGTAGCATCAAAAGCTGTAAATGACTATTGAAATAAACTCCTTTAGACATGGGTCTCTCTGTTTTATTATTTTATTTTTTAAAGATGTGTTATTTTGCTCAAGTTACATATTGAAAACATTCTCTACTTCTTTCATTATCTACATATATAAAAACGAAGAGCTTAACCTCCCACAAAGCCATCTGGTCTTAGGCCTGGGGCAGCCTCAGGATGCATTGTTTTAGTAAAAGTTTTGTGGATTTTTAATGGAAAATTGGCATGGCTTGGTTTACTATTGGTTGGAGCCCCACCTATGCTGTGTGTTGACACAGAGACGGCTTGAGCAATGGAGCTCCCAAGCTCCCAGGAGCACTGCCGCTGCCTGTGAACCACAATTTGCAAAACACACATTATAGTGCACATTTTGCTTCGCTCCCATCTGTGGTGCCCTAATCGCATTGTGAAATTCTATCTTATCTTTGTCCGATCCAATTTCCCAAGCCAGCATTTTGGACTTTTTACTTTCCTCACAGGTTAGTGAAGAATTCTCTCAGTCGTGATGGCTGTAGGAGACGTGATTGCTCACAATCGGGACTGGAGTTGAGAGCGTAGAGAATTCTCCTGTTTTTCTTCTAAAAACGGCTTGTTGCTTAAGAGCGAACAACAACCAAAAATGTTGAAACCATTTTCTTCAACTAGTTTTACGCTCTTACAGTTCACTTGGTTTCAGAAAAGGCGAAGTATTTGCCGCAGAGACTCAAGAAAGGTTGAAGGCGTGTCCTCCACAGGGCGTGAGGAGGCAGCAGCTGGAAACATGAGTGTTCAGCAGCTTCTCAAATCCAAGCTGCATTCTCTAATGTTCATTTTTTCAAATTATAGAATTTATTAGCTAGGGCAGCTTGAGAGCATCGCCTCATTTGCGTCATTGGCTGGGTTCGTTGGAATTCTTATCCAGCAAAGCAATGCAACGTAAAGTCGACCTTTGAGGAATTTCCTTGGGATATTTGGGGCACTGGTCCAAAGGCTGGGATTGTGAGAGTTGACAGATCTGGTGACAAGGCTTCACCAAAGTAGCTATGAAATGCATGTACCCGCATAGTTCTCCTTATCCTCATACTCACCTTCCCAGTGGCCGTGTTCATTTGAACTTGCCCTGTGGTTTATGTCTGGGGAGATCATATTGTTTACAGGCTGATGACCTTTTTTCTGGGGAGAGGATACAAATGGCTATGGCCTTCAAGACGTACCACTTTTTAAGAGCTCAGAGTTGAAACGAAGGGTCAGTTGAGACCTTTTTTAACAATTGATCCAGTTAAAAATCATCCCCATGTATCTCTGTCCGGCTTCCTTTTATGAAGTCTCAGTGTACATAATGGTGTTACTGCCAATAGAGGGGTGGGAGTGGAGACCATCTATGCCTCACAAGCTTTGGGTAATTTTTGCTGAAGCTTCTCAAGAATGAATCATAATGTCAAAGTTTGAGCATTCATAAATCAAGGAGGTGTGCATACATTAAGCACTTGGGCAAATTAGTAGTATGTTTACCATGCCTAGAATATCCATAAGCCATAACAAAATATACCTTATCTGCGGGGTTTTAGGTCATCAGTCCGCGACCATGTTTGCTCGTGCTGTTCCATCGAGCTTCGCCACTGGCTCCCTGCCACTGCAGGTACACTCTCCCCTCTCCATTTCTCCAGGACCATTCACCGCAGCTTGCAATCCAAGGTGGAGCGCGGGGATGCCCGGATTGTGTGCCGGAAGCCCGACATCCACCCCGCGTTTTTCAGCGAGGCCAAGGTATTCTGCAAGGGCGAGCACGTGATGACGACGGGCGGCACCCAGGCGGAGTACGTGGTGGACATTTGGTCCGGGAACCACCCCTTCTACCAGGGCGGCAAGTCCGGCGTCGTCATGACCACGGACCAGCTCGAGAAGTTCCGCCGCAAGTACGGCAGCCTCGGCTCCATGAACAACATCCCCGTCATCACCAACAGCGTGCCCAAGTTCGACAAGAAGGGCAAGAAGCCCGACAAGAAGAAGAAGCGCTAGAGGAGATGCGCAACGGAATGTTCCGTGCCCCTGGCGGCATATTCTGAATCCGGCTGACGGAATATGCTCCTTCCATTTTTAGTTGCCCTTGCGCGTATATAAAGCAGGTGTGGCCCGCAAGCCCTATAATCATAAATCATGGCTGACATTGACGCGTCCCTTGATCATGCAAGATGCGCAAACAATTGTGGATACTACGCCAACCCAGGCACGGGTAATTTGTGCTCCAAGTGCTTTAAGGAGTCGATCAAAGCATCCAAGGCCAAGAAAATTGAAGGTGGTGGTAAACAGATTTTGCATCCAGACATAACAAATGTAAAAGTAAGTACTGGTGGTGATGGTGGTGAAGAAGTAGAAATAAGTGTTGCAGAAACAGAAATTGGTCCTGAGGCAAAAGCTGATCCTAATCGTTGCACATCGTGCAATAGGAAAATTACTCTTTCCATGGTATTCAAATGTAGATGTGAGTTAGTATTTTGTGTGAAACATCGCCATCCTGAAGATCATTCGTGCCACTATGACTACCGTGAGAAAGGCAGCAAGGATATTTCCAAAGCTAACCCAGTTATCAAAGCTGAGAAGATTGCAAAGATTTGAAGTTAAAGAGACATCATTTCTAATGTAAATTTGTTAAATACGTTCGTTAGCGCTGTTCATAATATAAAATACCTGCTACAGTTCTTACACTCCGTCACCTCAAAGGATCCTCCCACAACGTTGTAGACTCCGCAGGACACGCACTTGAGCCTGTTGATCTTTGCGGGCTTGAGCTGCTTGTAATAGTGAACGTAGCCCAGCCGCGGATGGACGAGCGTCTGCGCGTGAGCGTAGCTTGCTCCTCTCTGCTGCGGATTCTGCGCCGGGAGAGATGGGGCCTTCTTCAGCTGAACGCAGCACTTGACAGGCTGGAGCTTGCACGCCTTGAGGTGTTCCTGGATGATCCCAACGCGGCTGTCACCAGTGATTTCTGTTTTACTGCTGCCTTCGGCCCCGGTGAAGGCTCTGAGCGACTTCAGTTGCGAGGAGAGGAGCAACGAGAGCTCGGCCGGCGGCTCGATAAGTTGGTCTTCGCAGTAAGCCTGTAAGTTACTGAGCTGCATCTGAACGTGAGCAATCTCCTGGACCAGACTGTCCCACTCGCTCGATCCTCCTGTTCGTTCTCCATCGAGCTCGCAGCTAAGACCTGTGGCTCTTGGGTGATCCTCGCAGCTCTCGTCCAGATATGCCAAGTCGATGTCCTCCACTTGAGTCAATGGCTCGTCACGCTCCTTGCTTCTCCTTTCCAGCAGCCCGTACATACTGACGAAGTTGTGGCGGACAACCAGCCTTGCAGCGAGGAGGTGCTCGCAAGTGAACATCGTCTCGAGGCAGTCGCAGAAGTTTGTGAGGAGGTTGACGACGTGAGACTTGGCCGTGTCACCGTTGCAGCTGTGGACTCTGAAAAGAAAACCCGGCTCGCTGAGTACCTCGAAACATGCTCGGTTATTGTTGTATTGAGCCAAAAAGCGTTCTGCAGCAGCCAAGCGCTTGCGCTCCGCCGAAGTGCTCGATTGACTGTGATAGCGCCTCGAATCACCTGAGAAAGTGTTAAGGACTCGAAAGAAAGGAAAAGACTGGTGGATACAAAGGACTTGTCTCTGCCGAAAAAACTCCTCCAGCGTACCACCCTCTGGCTTACTGCTTGTCAGGGCGCTTCCTACCAAAGCCAGAAGAAGATCGCAATTGCTCTGGTTCATACGCCCTCCAAACAAGGAATACTTGATGAAGAGCCACAAGTAACTCACTATGTTGATTGTCTCTACGTTTCCATGCTCAAACAACCTGCCAAAAGTCGGCCAAATTCTCCGCCAAGCACAATGAGAGCCCAACCATCCCATTTCCAGATAATCCACAATCTCCTTAAAACCACCATAGTCCTCCTGTGCATCAAAAACAAAAACAGGCCACTCAAGACAGAAACATGACAGAACTACCTTAAATTTGTTCCAAAGATTATCGAAATCGGCTTCAGAAGGGGCCATCATCATTCCATCCAGTTGGCGATACACATCTTTTCTCATTTCCGATGCGACCTGCTGCAAGCAATCAGGAAATAGTTACAACGAAAAAAAGTTTTCACCTGCGGGAGAAGATTCTCAACCCAAGCTCTTTTCACGCAAAACCAGCACAGCAGTAGCCGACAAGCGATCTGCTTACCATCCCTCCAGCATTTCTCGTCCCGAGAGACAACACTGAACAAAGCGTCAAAGCTCAGCCGCGACTTATCAATCAAAATTGCAGCTGGCCTCACAGACAGCTGCTTGAAGACTGCTGTCAATGCCAGCTTCAAGGCAATGCTCTCGTGCCTTGACCCCGTGTCAGCCGAGCACATCATGAAAAACACTGGCATTCCAATGCCGTCCTGGAAGACGTGATCAAAAACCATAACAAAATAGAGATAGAGACAGTAAGGCACCTGATTAGGAACGGCTGCCGCATGCAATGGAAGACCCCGTATACAGGTTGTGAAAGTCGAGTCGAGGGCCCAAACATTACCCGCAGAAAACCTTTACAAGAAAAACAAACGTCGTTATAAGAAGAATGAAGAACATAAGAAATGAAAACAAGACCTTTCAGCCATTTCTCGCATCCATGGAGTCATGATGACACACACGAACGGCTGCTTCTCTTCCACGGGATTAAAAACGTCATACTGCTGATAAAAAATCACAGTCTTCTTTTTCCTGTGTGCGTCAACCTCCTTGAGCAACCGGACCCAATCGCTGCTTGAGATCTTGCCTAAAAGAAAGCGGTACAAAACCCAGCTGTATCAGGCAGGAAGATAAACATTGGACCATAAAATAACGAAAAAACCGACAAACCTTGAGAGTTCAGCTCCATGGTTAACTGCGCCACCTCTTTCGGGATCAGACGAAAGCGAAAGGTAGCTTTGTCAAGGTCCGTAGCTCTGGACTTGAGTAGCATATCCATCCGCAACGACGCTCTTGCAACCGAAATCACGTCCCAGGACAAGTCAAACTCGTACAAAGCAGCTTCTTTCGCGGACGAATGGACGGGAAAGTTAACGTAATCTTCTTTGTCGTTGGGATTATGCCCCCTGTGTGCCCTGTTGAGAAGTACTGTCACCAAGATATTGCTCGAATCTAGAAAATGGCTGTTTGCCTGCATTTGCTCAAAGTAACTCCCATGGCCGTCCTGGAAATCTGGAAGTTGGCTCGAGCTTTTGGAGCCAAGAAGGTCCTCCGACGGATCCACGGAAGCTGTTCTCTCCGGCAAGTTTACTGGCTCTGGAAACTCCGGGTTGAGTTCGGGCAACTGAGAGATCCTCACCGGAATGAGTGTACGTACTCGAAAAGTGCATGGTAATCCTTGATGAGTAGCACCAACATTTTTGCTTGAGGAATCGGCTCCTTCCTGCTTTCGAAAACCACGGGCACAAACCCAGGTGGTGACGATCGAAGGCTCAGGACTGGCGATCATGTACGTGCTCTCCTTTCGCAGTGATACCCTGTGCCGGATGCAAAGGCCCTCGATGAAATCATCCAGATGCTGCCAAGGAACAGTGTGAACTTCCGGCCACCTTTCAGGCAAGTTCTTTCGGAGACGCTTGCTAGCCGGGGACTCGTGAAGCTGGTCATCGCATTTCGGGCACTCTCCAATCCTGGCCTTGATGAAATCCTCTGGGATGCCATGTTTCTTGTTCCCAGTGACGTAGAACAGCCCCAAGTTCTTGACAGTGTCGCGGAGGTTTAGACACGATCCACTGCCAGCCTCGACATGGAACTTATCGACGACGAAAGGCCACTCCTCTCTGTAAGCTATGATCCTTCTAAACTTATCCCACTTGGAGCTCAAGCGCCGGCGCTTGATCCCATCGCTTTCCACGTCCATCACCACCAGAGCGCTGGACAGGGATTTCCATCGGCTCAAGAGAGCGTCGGCCACAGCGCGGTTGTTCCTCCGCTTCTCCGGGAAGCTTGGATCGGCCTTCTTGATCTGCCCCTCGCTTGGCTTGGAGCCAGAATCCAAGCACTTGATGGTCAGATCGTAAGCGGCAGCATTGAAAGCGTAGGATTCCAGCGATCCAGAATTATCTCGTGGCGCCTGGGGATGATTCTCTGAAGGCGCCGCTGCCGCTGCCGCTGTCGCTACACAAGAAGAAACCCTCTCTACATCCTCGAGGCTGTCTAGAAATTCTATCACATTGAGCTCGGCTGCTGGCTCAGAGACTCCAAAACCCTCAAAATCTACATCACCTTCCCTGGCCGCCGCACCTGCTGCTGCGTCCCAGCCCTGACCCCAACTGGATTCGTAAGCACTCATCGCTAGCATCGCTGGAAAGCATAGCTACAAATCACTCCTAGAACCCTAAAAATCAATTGATAAGATTAAAAGAACAATTGTTCTTTTCTAATATTAATGGTTGTACAATTAATACTTGAGCAAATGTTAAATGGTTCAGAAAGAGGGTTAATATAAAACCTTGTGTTAATTGTAAAAACAAAAGGATCTTAAGGAATGGTGTTTTGAATTTTAATTCCAAGTCCATGTGGTAATGTGAAGTTGTCCATGAGTGAAAATTGGGTTAAACTTCAACTCAGTCAAATATCTATCCTTGGCATTTAGAGATTGTTAAATAATAACCCAAACGGATTGGAAATTGTCTTTTAGACATTTTGAATGGAATTTTTGTATTTGATGGTATTAATGTGATATGTGGGATAAATCTTATCCTTTTAAATTGCTCTATCACAATTTCACAATCTAAAACATTTGGGAGTGCATTTTTCAAAATGAGACGTGTGCTATTGCATAATCCTACTAATAGAGATATATTCCTTTAGAAGGATAAAAATAATACTTTATTTGAGAGAGAGATTATATGGTAGGAGACCAAAAGGTGTGATAGAATTTAGGAATTTTATTCGAAAGTTTTCAACAAAATCAACACTTTCATAGATATATGTATCACTTTGTAATTTAGAGACAATAATGTTGTTGATTGCAAATGTGTTATCCTTAAGTGGGTTAAGTATGATTCGATTGGCTACAATATAAGGGTTTGAAATATCAAATACTGAAGGGTAGATAAAATCAATAATAGATGAATAAATTAGTTGTGTATGAGCTAATAAAATGGAGTTAGAAGGTAAAGATGGTAAATTTTGAAACTTTTCACCATTTCTAACTTTAAGAAGCTATTCAACCCATGATTTATCAATTTCAATAAGTTGTATATTTGTTTTCAAAGATAATTTTCTAAAGAATCTCTATAATTTGTTCATTCTTATAGAACTTGAAATAATTTATGCCCTATATTGATATGGAATGACCGAAAGTATCTGTCTAAAGTCCCTACTAGTGACAACAATTATGCCACCAAAAGGTAATGACATTTTTTTTAGGTCTCACAACATTCAATTAACAGTAGTGAATGCATGAGTGTGAACCATATTTATTTCATCCTATAATAATATGTTAGTAGTTTTGATTCTTATACCTACTTCACTATTAGCAATTGTAGCAGAAGTTGATGTTTCATTTATTGGAATAAGAAGTTTAAAAGTAGTATGTGAAGTTTAGCCATTATAGAGTAAATTACTTGCAATTCTTGTCCAAGCCATACTAACAACATTTATTTTTTTCAGTTGTAAATATTTATAAGAGTGCTAAGAAGAAATGTTTTACCAGTACCACCGGGGCCATTAATGAAAATGTATTGATTATGCTCAGTTGGGTGATCAATAACATTAAGAATATCATTAAAAATATTTAATTGTTCTTGAATAAATTGAGGAATATTTTTTTTAACATTTTGATATATTTATGTTGAGTTAACAATATTTTCATCATTAAAATTTTCAGACTGTAAAAGTAGGTGGTAGTTTTGATTAGTTTTACTATGCATTTTTATTTTAATATTTATATCATGTAAAGCATGTTCGTAATGAAAAATTAGATTTGTTTGCATAAAATCCTCAGCGAGGAAGTTTTTAAATTTATCCCATAAGAAGTAAAAATCTTTTAGAGTGCAAAAGATACAAAGTAATACAAATAATTGTCTTAATTGTGATGGCATTCTAAAAAAGTTAGCATTTTTTAAACATTTTTCCCATTCAGTATCATCAGTTATAAGTCCTATTGCATTTGTAACTTGTTGAAATATGTTATAATAAATATTGTTAATTATCTTGAGATTTTTGAAAGACATAGCACTTTTTTTATAGAGTAAAATAAGATGTAAATGATATAATTCAATATTGGATGGTGACATAGAATACATTCGGGGAATGACATTTCTTATATATCAAATTTTCTAATTATAAGTATGAGGGTTAAATATATAATATAAAGGGATTTCAAGATATATATATTGTCTAGCATATGGGCATTTATATTTAATTTAAACCATTTTGTCAACACAATACCATTTTGAGTAGCTCTTTGAAGTGCCATTTGTTTAGAAGCTTTTATAAAATAGACATCTTAAAAATTTGGAAGATGGATAGGAAGGTAGATTATAGGGGTCGAACAACTATGTATTTTAAATTTAAAAAACCTTCATATTGCCTTTGGAGCAAATATGTAATATGTATTTAAAAAAGTTGAGATTTCATCCCAATTTAAAATATTATTAGGTTGTTGGGTTGTTGAATGGATTTGAATTGTAGTACAATCATAACCTTTATAAACATATTGAAATAAATATTTAATACTTTTTATAGTAGCACAAATTTCAATATTAATATGAGAATTATATTTTTTACAAAGGTATTTATTATAAGGTACTACCCAAAGATTATCAATATAGCACCCATTTTTTAGAAATGTGCAGCTATTATAAAGTCTATAATAATCTAGATATCCATCAACACTAAAAGTAGTTTCATAGTTAAATTGTTTTGAATAAGCTTTTGAGTAGTGCCATTTTTCATACAAGGACTATTAGGGTAAAGAGGCCCACATTGACCATGTATCATATGAGATGTAATTATTTTAGAAATTTTTAATTCATCTTGAGGATTAAGCAATTGTGCCATTATATACTAATCAATAGCATCATAGTCTTTAATATTGTTTTCATGAGATAAAATCCCTAAAAAGTGAAAATGTGGAAGGCCTCTTTTATGAAATTCAATTACATATAGAAAAGCAATATAGTTTCCGAAAATATCTTTTTTAGTAATATCATTCAAAAATACTTTAGAAACCAAGTTTGGATGATCCTTAGGGCCTTCATTTGGATGTAAATTTTTAGAAATTTCTGGCCATTTGGGATTGTATATAAAAGTAATAAAAAATATCTAGCTTTGAAAAATGAGTAATTATAGTCATTGCATCTTGATAATTTTGTTGCATTGCTCTAGGGCCACCCCCAAAACTTGAAGCTCAAATAACAATCTTGCTTGGATTTATATTTTCATTAGTAGCATGGTTTACAACATAATCCATAAGACCAATATACATTTCAATTCACAGTTTTTTCTAATGAGTGCAATAGTAATTCAAATTATTGCTTTCAACTTTTACATAAGCATTGACTATATATTGTTGTGTGAGTTTCCTATATGTAAAATTTGATCAAAACCAAGGTGTATTGTGTTTTTTTTATAGATAAATGGTATGTATAATATTGGAGTAATGTAATTTGATGTCTAGAATTAAAAATATTTTTACGCCAACCTTTGTCACCAAAAGGAAATATTAATGGGTAAACTATTGGATCACAATTATAATCAAGTGTTGAGATACATTTAGAATTGCTTACAATTGGATATATACAAATTTCACAATTATGTGGTGGCTCTCCATCATCACTAACAAACACAACAGCAACATCATTTTGTATGGGATAACTTGAAAGTGTAGCAGAACGAATTTCTTCTTGTTCTATTGCATACATCATTTTGAAAGCATGAGCATATGGGTTAACATAATGAAGGAGAGCATCAAAATGTTTAAGTAAGTTTGTCTCACAACTTGAATTAAAAGGGTTTTGCTTTCTTATATCTGTAGCTTCCAGAGTGTCAAGCATATAAAATTTGATATTGACCTTCAGAAGGATATGTTGACTCAATATTATGATATATTTGACAATGGATTTTAAAGCAATAAGGACCATGACCTTTTACAATATCAATATTAGAAGACATAGATGCAAAAGCAAGAGCACTATTGTAGGGTATAATATTTATTCTAAAATTAGAGTTCTTATTTTGCTTGTAAAGTGAAAGTAAATTAAATGGTAAAGGTGATATTGTAGGTAATATAACTTGGTTATTCTAGCAACACATTGAAGAGTTTTCATCTTTAAACTACAATGCATTACAAAAAGTACAAAAAAATGATAAACTACCAATACTAAAATTTATTATGTTAAAGTCATTATAAATGCTATGGCTTGCTAGTGTGGTATTCATGAGTGGGAGTGGTTAATTTAATATTGCTTGATATATGCAATCATCATAATGACATTCATGTAAGGTTCCAGATGCTTCTAACTGTCCAATTGATTGGTGTATATAATCATTATCATGATTAATATTTTGGTGTTTGTAATCATCATCATGATTATTTTGAACAGCTATAGTATGTGTATCATGATCAATCATAGTTTTAGAGGCATCTAAATCTCCATTAGATTGTTTACTATGTCGTATGGCTCTCAAAAGATGGCAGAGGCGAGGCATTTTCAGTCATTTTGATTATATATTTAAATCTTATATATATATATATATATATATATATATATATATATATATATTAATTGAGTTTGTATAGAAGTTTATGCAGAATAGAATAGAATATATATACATATAATTGGATAATTATATGTAATCTAAATATTATAGAATTGCTTACAGTTGGATATATACAAATTTCATGACTATGTAATGATCTGAAAGGAAAACATTAGAATTTTGCAAAGCACACTCAAGAACAACAAAATAGCTCCAATGTTGTGTTTACCAATCTCTGCCTCATAATCCATAGCTTTACAATTTTGAGCTGCAGCCCCAAGTGCTGCTCCTACACCAGCATCAGGTTACCTGGCACAGCATCCAAGACACCTCAGAAAGCCCATAAGCACACATCATTGAAACTGGCCCTTCAAGATTGTGATGTTTATGGTCCACTTGTGAGATCAGCCTGCACAAGAGAGATAATGTGAGCCAAGCCAGATCTTCTCCACAAACTGATGTTCTTACTGGGGCGTGTGAGATGCAAGTTCCATTCAATCCTGTGACTATGGTTTTGGCTGAACATCCAATCATCCCCGGATAGAATAGGGAAGGAATCATACAAGCTGGAAAGGTGGGACTTCAAAGTGGCAGGGAGTGCTTCCCACCTTAGAATC